TTTTCGTAAGATGAAGCATTCGTAAGTAGAGGTACCACTGTATATATCCACTGGGCAACCTTTGGCAAGTTACATTTTCTCAGCCTCAGAGGAAAGCAAAGGGAAACTCGTTCTGAACAAATATTGCCAAGAAAACTTCGATATGTTTAGAGTCGCCATAAGTCAAAAATGACTTGAAGGCACAGAACAACAACAATTATAATATACAAGGATATGAAGTGTCCTTGAGTTACACATGAGTCTAGTTTTGCTACAGTAAAATAAAATTCACTCGTATCCTAAACAGTTTTAATCCTTAAATATTAAAATATTTAAATATATGTAGCACGTGACTAAACTGAAACCCAAATGCCCATTTTGCAATATTCCTAGCAGCATTTTTCTGGAGACACTGGAAAGTAGCTGTAACTGTTTCTTTTTTGAAATTTTAACATTTAAAAACAGCAATAATCATCTTAACAGTTATTAATAATGAAATAAAACAATAATGATATGGATATGATAATGTAGAAGAAGAGTACTGAAGAAAGTTTAAAAGGTTCATAGTGTTAATGAGGTTCTAATGTTAATCAGGTCCTGGCACAGTTGAGTCTTCATGTAGAATGTCTTTCCAGAAAGGTTGATGGCATGGTGGAGGTTGTATCTGATGTGAATTATTGTTGATGTACTCTATGAAAAGGAACAATTTTTCAGTAAATGATGTTTTTCCAATTTGTCCTTTTGGCTTTCTTATATTGTCTGTGAGTTTCTCCATCAGCCATATATCCCAGGTTTTCCTCCACCAATTTTCTATTAAAAGTTCACTGGTTTTCCAGTTCTTAGCAATTTCCAATCTGGCTATTGCTATAAGGAAGACGATCAAAGCTTTGGGATGGAGGAGGTAGCCTTGACTATGAAAGAAATGGCAATGAGTGAGATAAGAAACTCTTACATAATCACATCCATAAAAACAGACTATAAACATGTTAACAACAACCAAACAAAGGCAAAACTTGTAGAAGGAGAAGGAGTTGTTTGCTAAAGGGCAGATTCTCAACCAGAAACATACTGTCCGGTCTCCTCCAGGAAAATGCAATGATGTGGGGTTGTTTTGAATAGAAGTCACTGGTGTGCAACCTGTTTTTCATC